ATATCAACAAATATCTTTACACACAATCAGAAAATAATAGAGAACTGAAGACATCTTTAACAAAGGTATGCAAATGTACATAGATGTAAATGCTTACATAGTGACTGAGATTAAACAACAGTCATCAGTGAAAAAAAAAAATTTGTAGTTATCTGTTTACTTGTATTGTTGAACTTTATTTTTTCCTGTCTCCCTCATTAGAATATAAGCTTCCTAAGGACAGAGTCTGTATTTGTCTTGTTTATCACTGAATCCCCAGCACAACTGCCAGAACAGAGTGGCAGCCAAGAGCTTAACTCACAGAGAGTTTTGAAGATGGTTAACAAAATATAGCACTATTTGGGGCAAAACAGAAGGGCAGCCAACAGGAGCACAGCTCACATTTGTCAACCAAAGAAAGCAGCAATGGATAAATAGGCTGAGTGTGGTTGCTGCAATAAAAAGTCATGCTCCCTTGTCCAATTCCTGAACCTGTTGACTAAAGAGGTGGCAGGGTCCTCAGGACAAAGGACCTGGAATACAATGGTAAATATATACTGTAATGATTCCTCCAGTCCTTCCCCAGGGGGGCCCTATGGTTATCTACTCAGGGGACTGTACAGTGAGGAAAGAAGAATACCCAGACATTTTTAGGACTATTAGAACAGGATCCTGGGCCGGCCCCATGGCTCACTCAGGAGAGTGCGACGCAAGGCTGCAGGTTCAGATCCTATATAGGGATGGCCGGTGTGCTCACTGGCTGAGCGTGGTGCAGACACCACCGTGCCAAGGGTTGCGATCCCCTTACCAGTCAAAAAAAAAAAAAAGAGAACAGGATCCGGGTTACCATTGATACTCAGAGACTCAAAACACCATCATGCCCTCGCCCCATTAGAGTGAGAGTATACAGGGGCCAAAGTCCTGCTTACAGAAGGTCTACTAGAGGGTCCGTAGACTCAGCCAGTGGTCATTTCTTTGATTACCAAAAGTAGAATTGGAATTGACATACTTAGAAGTTTGAGAAACTCCACATTACGTCCTTAGCCTTGGAGTAAGACTAATCATAGTGGGAAAGCCAAATGGACACCTCTGAAACTGCACCAGAGTACATAAAAATAATTATCGAAGCCTAGCAGGGAGGGTAGGGATTACTGTCACCTTAAGGACCTTAAGGGTGGAGAAGTGGTGGTTCCTATCAAATCTCCACTTAATTCACGGGTCTGGCCCCTGCAGAACCTGGATGGATTCTAGAAAATGATTGTCAATTACCTCAAGCTCAACCAAGTAGCAGTCCTGATCACAGCTGCCATGCAAGTGTAGTGTCTGCTAGAGCACATTAGTATGGTCTCAGGTAAGGGAATGTGGCCACTGATTGAGCCGAATGTATTCTTTTCTACTTCAATCAGGAAAAAGCATCAGGAAGTTCACGTTTACATGGAACAGACAATAATGTATACTCAAACTCACAGGGCTAAGATAATTCTCCTGATCTCTGTCATAATATATTCTCAATACATGAGGGACATCTGGATATCCCATAGAACATCACAATGATCCATTACCTCAGGGTTGACAAACTATGGCCTGTGGACCAAATCTAGCCACCACCTGTTTTTGTATGGCTCCCAGGCAAAGAATAATTTTTACTATTTTAAATGGCTAAAAAAAATTAGAATGAATAGGCAAAGCACAGAGGATATTTAGGGCAGTGAAAATATTCTGTATGATACAATAACAGTAGATACATGTCACTATAAATTTTGTCCTAACCCATAGAATGTACACCACCAAGAGCAAACCCTAAGGTAAACTATGGACTGGGTGATGATATGCCAACATAGGCTCACCGATTATAACAAATGTACCCTCTGGTGTGGGATGTTGATAGCGGCTGTGCGTGTATGGGGGCAGGACGTATATGAGAACTCTGCTTTCTGCTCAATTTTGCTGTTACCCAAAAACTGCTCTAAAAAATAAAGTATATTAATTTTTTAAAGAAATCAAAAAACACTTTCATGACACATGAATATTATGAGAAATTCAAATTTCAGTGTCCATAAAAAAAGTCTTGTTGGAACAGAGCCACATCCATTTATTTACATATTGCCTATGGCTGCCTTTGGACTACAGTGGCAGAGTTGAGTAGCTGGGACAGAGACCACATGATCCAAAAGCCTAAAATATTTACTATCTAGCCCTTTACAGAAAAAGTTTGCCAACCCCTGCATTACATCAGTGGCATTATGGTGATCAGGCAGGATGAGCAAGAGATGGCAACACACTGCCAGTCTTGGTAAGACATACGTGCTCCAGCAGGTGGGCAATAAACCCTAGGAAGATTCCAAGGCCTGCCACACCATCGGAGTTTTCAGGGGTCCAATGGTCAGTGGCATGCTAGGCCATCCACCAAATTAAAAAATACAATTTACTGCATCTTGCATCTTCTCCCACAGGGAAGGAATGTCTGTTAGGCCACTTTGGTTCCTAAAGGCAATACAACCCACACTTAGAAATACTGTTCAGACTGATGCAAAAAGATACCAGCTTTGAGTGGTGCCTGGAGCGGGAAAGGACTCTGCAGCAAGCCCAGACCACAGTGCAAGCATCCAGGCCACTTGGGCCATATGATCCAGCAGATCCTATGATTTGGATGTGTCAGTGGTGGAAAAAACACCATGCAGAGTTTGGGGCAAGCCCCAGTGGAAGAATCACAGTGCAGGCCCTGGAATTCTGGAGCCAAGGCTATGCCATCTGTAGCAGAGAATCATACACATTTTAAAAAACAGCTCCTGGGGCCGGCCTGTGGCTCACTCGGAAGAGTGTGGTGCTGATAACATCAAGGCCACAGGTTTGGATCCCATATAGGGATGGCCAGTTCGCTCACAGGCTGAGTGTGGTGCTGACAACACCAAGCCAAAGGTTGAGATCCCCTTACCGGTCATCTAAAAAAAAAAAAAAAAAGCTACTGGCAAGCTCCTGAGCCCTGGTAGACAGTAAACAATTGAACAAGGGATACCAGGTGACCAAGTATCCAGAACTGTAAATCACGGGCTGAGTACATCAGATCCATCAAGTCACGAAGTAGGGCAGGCCAAGTGGCAACCCACTGTAAGATGGAAACGGTAGATCTGAGATCAAGCCAGAGAAGGACCAGAGGGCACAAGTCAGCTGCATGAGAAGGCTGCCCCCACATCACCCTCCATGCCCTCCCTTCCCTGGGGCTTAGGAGGAGCCCTTATGAGCAGGTGAAGGAAGAAGAAATAGCCCAAGTTTAGTTTATGGATTGCTCAGCTTGGTTTGTGAGTTCAGGCTTAAATGGACAGCAACCACATTCAGGGATGGCCTTGAAAGATAGTGGTGAAAAGCCTTCCCAGTGGGCAGAGCTTTAAGTGGCGCGCCTGGTCGTGGACTTTGTGTGGAAGGAAAAGTGACCCACAGAACCTCAGCCAGCACCACTGTCCAAGGGCTTGAGGGACTCCTGATCCTCAGGCATGGAATTCTACACAATGTACCATCTGACCAGGTGACTCACTTCATAGCCAAATGTTGGGCCATATTACGGTGCATTTTCGCCATAAGGGATTTTCCCATATCTAATGTCTGTTTCTTGGCGGGGGCAGGGCGGCAGCCATGTTGCGTGCGAGCCGCAAGCTCGCCGCTGCCATTTCATGTGGGCCAAAGCGCACGTTTCTAACTACTCCCTTTTCCGGGGTTCTATGACTCTGCACTTTTTTCCCGCCCTACTTTCTCCCGTCCCTCCGCGGCGTGGCCGCCCCTGATTGGGTGACGGCTCCCCCACCCTGTCCTCTCTATATAAGCTCCTGTCCCCTAGCAATAAACAGAGTTCCGGCTTTGACCACTCTCCTGGCTCGGTGGTGTTTTTTCTCGGCCCCCGGGGAGGAAGGTCCTGGGGGGGAAGGGCCGTGCCAGCGACACTCATCATCCCGCTCAGCCCCACAAGGGACCCCCGGCTGGACCGGGGTCTCTTCCCGCTCGGTTTTGTCGGCCTCTGGCTCAGGGAGGCCCGACAGCCAAAGAGGTGCAGAAGTGGGCCTGTGACTACTGGTCATATCACCATCCGGAATCAGCCAGCCTGACGGTGTGGGAATGGCCTGATGGAGGCAACGCTCTAGAGAATGCAGTGCCATCCTCCAGAATGCAACAATTACACCGAGTCAGAGACTTCGATAGGACTCTGTCCCCATGGAAAAAATACATGGATCTGGAAACCAACATGTAAAAGCTGGGGTGGCCCTACCTATCATCATAACTATGACCCATTGGGGGACTTTGTGCTTCCTGTCTCCACATCTCTGGCACAATATGGTCAGAAGTACTGGTCTCCAAAGGGGTGTACCCTTGCCAGGGCACAAGCAAGGATCCCACTGAACTACAGGTTATGGCTGCCACCCAGGTACTTTGTTGTGTCCACTGACCAGCAGACAAGAAAAGAAGTCACCATCCTGGCAGGTCCCCACAGAAGAAAGCAGAAGTGCTGTTACACACGAGGGCACTCAGGAGTTCAGGTGCCTCTTGGTCCTCCCTTAACCCACTGTGACTGTGCATAGACAGGTGTGTGGCAACTCTGGCCTGAGAACGGTATGGTGGGCAGGGTCTCAGACCCTTCAGGAATGACGGTTGCTGTCACACAATCAGGTAAGCCACTGAGACAAGCAGAAGCGACAGCTGAAGTCTACTAAACAAATACTTGAGGGAGGAAGGAAGGCTGGGAGGGAAGAACGATAGAAAGACCCGAGGGCAGGTCATGGGTCGCCCAGATTCTCCGTGTATTGCCCACAGTGTCCGAGCAGTAGGCTCTCAATAAAGCGCTGAATGTTGACTTTACAACAGTGTGTTGAATGTTTTAATATCCCACACTCTGCTTGAACCTTCTGGAAGAAATGTTTTCTATCTCGTCAAGAAACAAGCTCCGCTCACACGCAGGGCACCCCGATCCCTCACCACAGGGCTCCCCCGCCGGGGCAGCGGCCCCTACAAGTGCCCGCCCAGACCCCGCTCACCGCCTCCGGGCTTCCAGGCGCGCGGCGATGCGGAGGCGCCGGGCCTGGATCCGCTCCTGAGGGTTATCAGAATGTACCGAGGGCCCGAGCATCGGGGTGGTCAAGTGCTCGTCCACATTCTGCTCCAGGACCCCTGGGGACCCCGGTGGATTCATGGAAGCAGCCTCCCGCCTAAAGGTAGCTCCGCCCGGCCTCCAGCACCACTGCCGCCCAGTTGCTAGGAACAAGCCGTTGCTAGGGAAAAGCCGTCACCTGACCCGCAGCCGGGGTAGTTGCGCGCGCAGCGTCCAGGCCCCGCCTATCGCTATGCTGAGCCTTGTAGTGCCCGGTCGCGCTTCGTTCCTCTCTCCTGCTGTTAGCACATGGATACCATCCTGACCCCCACGAAGGCCGAGTCGTATTAGCGGAGTCTGTGGAATCTCGCCACGATGCTGGAAGACTAAAGAGCTGGACCAAGTTGTGGGTCATGACTTACTGACTGTGATGATTAATTCATGATTCATTCATTCTTCAAATGAATATTCTTCAAAATCATATTCTTCAAATATAATTGAGCACCTACTATATGCCAAGCTCTGTGCTAGCGCTGATACAGACGTTGTCCTTTTCTCATGGGAGAGTACAGAATAATAGGGGGCCCTGAGCCTACTGCCTCTTCAGAAAGTATGTACTAAATTATATTGCATCCACCCACTCATCAGCCATTCGTTTTTGAGCTACTGCTTGGTGCAGTCTACCCTATCTCCTCTAGAATGTGAAACCACCCTGCCATGTTTATATCCAGCAAGGGATTGTGGACTTCTGTGGCTGTTTTCTGTAGGGCTGAAACCTAAAACAATCCCACCATCACCACATGCAATCGCATACTTATAGAAAGAGGAAAAGGGGAGCAGAGGAAAACAGTGGAGAGGGAAGTGGAAGGAGTAAAAGGAATGCAGAAGCACTATTAAAATTCTCAAAGCAGCACAGACTCCAGAAAGGCACTATTTCGTGGGCATCTCTGTGTTTCATTGGCAACAAAAATAGTGTTTTCGTTGAGAATTAAAACCCTTTAAAACCAAACTGGATAACATCTTGCTGGGTCTTGTCTCATTAGCCCATGAGGGACTAAGGAAACTTCTCCAGATGAGTAGTGAGAAAATGTGGGCTAGTCCTAGCCCTGCCCTGCCCTGCCTGCCACCTTGGCAAGTCACGACTTCCTGAGGACCATTTTCTCAACTATTAAATGGTATCGGCTGCCTACTCAACTCACAGGTAATTGTGAGGCCATGAGGACAAACCCTCTGTAATTTAAGACCTTCCCAAAGGCAAATGGAACAGGTTTTTAAAATCCATTTTTCTAAGTCTGCAAGTGGTAGAGAGATTTAGGAGTGCAAAACCATAGAATAGCCTGAAGAGTCCAACAGCTGCCTGGATCTTTGTCCCATACCTGGCTAGGTGGTGCTGGATGGGGAGGGAGTGGGTTTAGCTGCTTCTAGGATTCAGGGCCCTCTCCCAAATCCCTCTCTCCTTTGATTGTAACCTCAAGCATTAAAATATCCCAGGGGCCATGGAATCAGAGGGGAAAGGTATAGCTCTGACCACAAATTCTTCCAGGTTCTGGTTCACGTTTCCACCACCCATAAGGAGAGAAACAAGTAAGTGTGTGCATGCCTGTGGCTGGGAGTCAGATACCATAAGTCAGCAGGAATCAGCTGTTACACAACAGATAGGTGAGAGAGCAAAAGTATCATAAAAATCCATGAAGAACGATCGAGATACTTGGCCTGAAAAGCTGTCCCCAGATATCTCTTCAGACATCTTTTATAATAAGGATTCTCACTCCCCATTTTGCTGTTAGGCTGGTGACAGCTTTTATGCCTCATCCCCTTTCTTCTGCATATCTGGGCAAGTTGTTTAAAAAGGAAAAAAGCCTGGGTGTTCTCTTCTTTGGTGCCAGCAGATTACAACCATGTGCACTGAGTACCCTCATCTCGGCCCCACCCCACAGCCACAACGAAAGCCCCAAGCTAGTCTCCTTTCCCGGCTCTTTCCAGCTAGTTTCTGAACAGCTGGGAGGTCTTTCTTTCTCTCACAGACAGTCTCAATTACGTAATAAACCTTTTTCACAGGTGTGGAAAACAGACACACTCATTCACTGCTTGAAAGGCACCTTTTAGGACAGTTTGACAATATCTATTAAGTTCAAATTAGCATATGCATCGACTAGGCAATTCTACTTAAAAGAATTATCCTAGGGAGATAATGGGTCTAGTTATAGCTCCTTGGAGTTGGAATTAGTCAGCCCTCCCTATACATAGGTTCCACATTCATGGATTCAATCAAAGCTCGAAAATGGGGGGTGGGGGGGGGAGATGGTTGCATCTGCACTGAGCATATACAGACGTTTTCTCTTGTCATTATTCCCCAAACAATAAAGTATGACAACTATTTACATAGTATTCACGTTGTATTATTTTAAGTAACCTAGAAACGATTTAAAACATACAGGAAGATGTGTGTAGGTTATATGCAAACACTATACCATTTTACATAAGGGACTTGAGCATCCAAGGATTTTGGTATCTTCAGGGGATCCTAGAACTAATTCCCCACGGATGCCAAGGGACAACTATACATCAGTTTTATTCAACACAGAACACAAAGCATCTAGCACAATATCTGATACATAGTAAGTGCTCAACAAATATTTGTTGAATGAAAGAAATGTGCACAGATGTATCTGTATGCTCACTCGTTATATTAAAAAACTGGATATGACATGAAATCCATCAATAAGGGAACTAATTAAGCATTCATGGGATGAAATGCAAGAATGAATCTGACCTAGAAAGACATTCAAGATATATTAAATGAGAAAGGAAAGCTGCAGCACAGAGTGTAGAGAATGACTCGTTTTTATTTGGAATGCAGACAGTATATAAATGAGAAAAAAGCGGGGGGAAGACCACAAAGTAGTCAACATCTCTGGGGGCTGGGTTTATGGGTGACTTTCACATTCTCTATTCTAAAAACAAAAACTGTTTACAATAAACTCAAATCACTTTTGATTTAATAAAACAAAGTTTACATTTTCATTGTTTTTGTTAAAGAGAGGTGACAGGAGATCCTGAGGAGACTGAGGCAGACGAGAGTAGGGCTGTCACACAGATGAGAGGAATCTGGGGAAGGGACCTTGGTGACTAACCAGCATCCAGAGTCTGGTCCTCAACTGGCAAGCAATACCTACTTTGAGAACTGATTTAAACTAATAAGCTCGCAAAAGAAAAACATACAGAGAATTAATTTTAGTAAGAAACCAACCACCACACAGGGCAGTGTTTTTTCATGCCTTGGGACCAGCAACATCTCTGTGAGCTGATCAACAAAAAGAATCAAACTATAATGGAGAAAATTCCTTGATATGTAGGATTGACCATAATGAGTACAGGGGCCCACAATGGGGATAACTTGCCACAAAGAGCTGACAGGTCAAAATTGGAGTAGGACAACCCCAACCCTGGGCAGGTTTTGAGTGATAAATTCAAGATCTTCTGGCCATATGTGGATCCTTTGCTAGGCTAAGGCTGGCCATCTATCTTCAATTTATAGTCTTTTTCCAGAAAAATAATGCAACATTGATCAGATTTTACCTGTCACATTTAATTCCATATCCATAAGTTTACATTAAATCCCCTTTACTGAAGTTTGTGGATGTTGGCAAATTCAAACATTTAGATGATTTCTTGGTTTATTTCTATCTCCCAATTTGTGTGAATTTTACTAATTGGATTTTCAGAAGGCAAGTTATTTTTATTTTTTATTTATTTATTTATTTTTTTGTCTTTTTCCGTGTCCGGCAACGGATCGCAACCCTCAGTGTCGCCCCCGTACCGGACCGGGACCGGCAACGGGATCGCAACCCTCGGTGCTGCTCCCGCACCTCGCTCAGCCAGTGAGCGGGAACCGGTCTGTATGTGGGATCCGAACCCTCGGCGGGAGCGCCGCCGCGCTTCCCAAGCGGCGCACTATCCAGTGCGCCACCGGGCCAGCCCAGCAAGTTATTTTTAAAACTGCCTCACCATCATTGCCTAGATGATGGAGAGAGTAGAAAAGGGAGGAGGCAGGGAAGTCAGGAGCTGTGTTAGTCGGCTTAGGAAAAAGCTCAAATGGAAAAAACAGAGAACTAAATATTGGTAGAAACCAAGCACCTACCTTAGATCACTCACTGTGCTAAACACCCTATATGTAATATTCTCACTTGGTCCTCAAAATGCTTAATGCATAATTGTGGTACTAGTAATCCCATTTTAGAGATCAGAAAACTTAGCCTTAGAAAAAAATAAGTAACTTGCCCTCAGTCAAAGCTTACAAAGTTGAATAGGACTAAGAAAGAATCATTGTATTAAAAGTTTGAGGTCTTGAAAAAGCCAGAATGAAAACAAGAAGAAAAATGGAAGGAGGAGATACAAAGTTTCCTTTCAGGAAATTTGTGAGCAGAGGAAAAAAGATGAGACCAAAAACAGGAGCAAAGACACTTGGGGGCATAGGGTGTTTTTAGGTTTTGGTAGCCCCAAGCGCTGCGTGTCAGGTACTTGCTAGGTGTTTGAGATTTGTAGATAGGTGTTAGAGGGATAACTGCTAGGACAACCAGGAAGTTGGGAGGGCAGGGGATTCAGAGCACCCAGCTGGAGAATTAGCCTGGGTTAAAACATGGAACACTTCCTTCCTCACCTTCTTCAAACTTGTTACTTAAAATTTTTATAAATGTCCACTGCCAAAGCTGAGAAATCAATTCTGATGTAAAAACGGGAAATAGTCTCCTCAGAGGCAATGTTAGATAAAGGGAGTTATAGTTTATATACCATACTTTAGGTGTACGAAGTGTGGTTTGATAGGTTTTTGTGGAATTAGTCTGGAAAATTAACACCATATATTAATACTCTTTCTACAGAGAAATGTTTTTGAGGAAGAAACCACTACCTTACAAACTGATTTAAGTATGACCCAGTTCTTATGAGGACTGTAAATATATACTGCCCAGCTCTCAGTCCTGGGGTTGTCAAGAGCAGTATACTCTCAATAGTCATTACTGCCACCTCCTTGTGTTCTGCTTTCTGAAACAAGTCACAGGATCATGGAACACCCAGAAGCAAGCAGACTGATCTTTCTAAAAGCAAAAACAAGACAAAACAAAACAAACTTTTTA